CCTAATCCCAGCCCCACGACTCGAGCCTTAAATCCGGACAACAACACCAAAGCCGAAACCCAAACCCGAAGGCTCCAAGGACTCATATTTTAAGGCTTTTGGGTTTAGGGTTTAGGGTTTTGGGCCCAAAGACCACACTATAAAAGGCTGTTGGGCTATTTTGAGCCTTAGGGAAAGTCATCCCCCAGCTCGGAAACTGTGCTGAATCCCAAACGAGAGAGGGTTTAGGGTTTAGGGAGAATTTTTCATTCTACCTAGAGTATCCATTTTAGTTCCCTTTTTTGGTTTAACCAATTCTATATTAAGGATTCTGTAAGGTAGCCCAAAATGGAACTACAATGGAGCCTATAGGTAGAAAAGGATCTATACTGTTTCTATGGAACACAACAAGTATCTGCAAAGATAGGACAACAAGGGAGTTTGCAGGAATTCTTCTATACGGCTTCTAAGCCCTGTATCCATCTCGGAGTTACTATGGCCTAAACTACTATATAAGTACATGGACCCTACAAAAAACGGTGAACCCCATCGAACCGACCAAAACCCCCTGATACCCAACTCCCAAATTTCCAATTTCCAAAATGCCTCTAAGCCCTAGGCCCTGAACATGAATCAAAAGGTTCACAAAATGCCCCTAAACCCGAAACCCTTCAACCCTAAACCCTAGACCCTGAACCCTTCAAGGGTCCACAAAGACGTCGCTTTCAGCTTCGAGCTTCGGACAAGGCTGGTTGCTTCGCCACCCGACGGCGCCCTGCTCTCAGGACCTAAGGACGAAATGAACCCGGTTTAGGGTTTAGGACAAGGATATGGGGCCATGGTGTTATTAAGGGGCCTCATCAGGGATAGCCTTTCATTATCCGAAGTAGCTTCGGCCTGCAAGTAGTCCCTATATAGGTATCTCAGGGCCAATGCATATGCTATATTGGGCAAGGTTTCTTTACGGTTTAGCGGGTTAGGCTTTCGGCTTCAATCAAGTTCATTGTGAAGGGTGAAGGAGTTGTTGTGTTCAGGGGCAGGGCCCCAACGCTAAAACCTTCCATCTAAAAGCCAATAGCCCAGACCCCCGGAAGGATCTGGAAAGTAGAACCCCTAATTTGGGACCCTACACTACTAAAGGGGGGTCTGGGAGGTGCGTGCTCTCAGATCTTCCCGGTTTAAGGTTTAGGGTTTAAGGTTTAGGGTTTAGGGTTTAAGGTTTAGGGCTTAGGGTTTAGGGTTTAGGGTTCCTGCCAATCATGCCACTCGAAGATGCCACTGCTACCATTCGCAGCTTCGGAAACTGCCAGTTGAGTCCGCTTGCGCCCTCCTTGGCCGCAAAAGGTGGCCGCAGGATTCCCAGAGAACCCAATACCCCTTTATTAAGGAATAGACCTTATATCAGAATATTAAGGCCCCTATATAATTTAAGGTAAACCCCTTAATTAAGGTGTCTTGGGTTCTCTGGGTTGAGAGGGGCTGGAGGTCAGATCGAATCCGTAGAAGCGAACCTGTGAGACTCCACCAAATCTCCATGGAATCGACCACCTGGATAGAGGTTCGTTTAGGGTTCAGGGTTTAGGGGGTTCACAGCAGCCTACCGCGACCTTCCGAAACCCCTTAAGTAAGGAACATACCTCAAATCATACTCGGGAGGCTACTGCAATTCAAGGCAATTATACAATAATCAACGGGTTTTGGAGCCTCTGGGTACGTCTTAAGCGCTGCATCCTCTCCCAAAGGAACTTACGCGAACCTGAATCTTTCTACTGGCAAGATCCTTGGGGTACACAAATGGCTCGAACGTCGCCGCACCCCTGATACCCTCTGCTCATTACGACTACAAGGTACAAAGTATAGTGTCCTGCTTAAGGTTTTGGGGTTGCGGCTGAGGGCTGAGGATCTGGGTTGCGTCGCGACGTAGAGCTTTGGGTTTAGGGTTTGGGGGCCAAGCTCCTTATTACCAACGGACATCTTTGAAAGCTGGAGAAGTCACCCAATCCCAATGAGATTCAACTCTACACCCGGAGTTTGAACCTACACCCTAAATCGCCAAACCCTAAGCCGCAACACGAGCCCTTAGAGAAGCCTACTAAGACCCTAAACATCTAGTGACCCCCAAACACCCGATATCCGCAGTCAACTCCTGAGCCCCACAGGGCCCATGTAGTTGCGTAACAGAAACAAACCCTCAACACTATACCCGGGCCTACATATCTCGTAAACCCGGGTGTAAGCCATGTTACAAACCCCCTTGTTTCAAGCCTTTAAACAGCCTTTAAAGGGACCCTAATCCAACTCTATACCCGTATGGTAACCCTTAAAGAACCCTTGAAGGACCTCTTACAGGAACCCTCAAATTTCAGGCCACTGAGCACCCAAACTGTCTAAACCCTGAACCCTCAACCCCAACCCTAAACTCTAAACTCAAACCCTAAACCCCAAACCCTAAACCGAAGAATCACACCCAAACCTTCAGAGAATCCGAAGTTTTTAAGGTTTGTAGGATTTAGGGTTTAAGCTTTAGGGGTGTAGGGGTTGGTGCTTAAGGTTTAAGGCTTAGGGGTTTTAGGGTTAGTGTTTAAGGTTGATAGGGTTTAGGGTTTAAGGGTTTATAAATCCCTAAACCCTAAACCCTAAACCCTGAACCCTAAACCCTAAACCCTAAACCCTAAACCCTAAACCCTAAACCCTAAACCCGAACCCTAAACCCTAAACCCTGAACTTTAAGAATTTTTGAGGGGCCGAGGATGCCACATTGCTCAGGCAAACCAGCACGTCTTCGGGCGACAGCGTCTCCTGGAATCAGGGTTTCTGGGTTTGGTGTTTGGGGGTTTTGGGTTCAGGGTTTAGGGTTGGTTTAGGGTTTTGGGTTCAGGGTTTAGGGTGCTTGTGTTTTTGAAAGTATATAGGGTTTAGGGCTATAGGCTATAGAGTTTGGGGTTTGTGGGGGTTGGGGGCTTCCAAACGATAGGGTTTCCCACGCTTTGTCGTCGCGGTTCCGGATACCCAAGTTACCCAAGAATCACTTGATCCTCGAAATGCAATGTGACAGCAAAGTCGGCTTCTACACTAGATTACGAAAGGCACGCAAGGTTTCTGGCTTCAGAAAGTATAAGAACAAGGTCATACGCCCCTTGCCTGGTTCCTCATAAATCTCAATACTGGTAGAGTAGGTCGAGCTTAGGCGCTAAACCCAAAAGAACAACATAAGCTTAACCCATAACTAAGTCTGTCAGTGGAAGCCCCGAAGATTAATAGAACCCTAAACCCTAAACCCTAAACCCTAAACCGCAAACCCCGAAACTCTAAACGGCCCTAAACCCCATTAGTCTGGGACATTTTCAGGTGGGTAGTTACCGTTATAGGAGCCTTATCGAAGGTCTATATACCTTATGGAAGCCCTATAATATATATATATATATATACATATATACCCTAAACTTAGCCCCTTTGCTGTCGAGCTGAGTCCCTGGGGAATTCCGCTTGTGATAGGGTGCTCGCGGGGGGTTCATGGAAGTCTGCTGGCTAATCGTCGGTGCTGGCCTACCATTCGTATGCTTTGGAGATGTGCGGCGTATAACCCCCACAGTGCATGGCAATACAATCGTAAGGAGGAAATTGCAGCTGCTTTTTCTGGATATCATGTACTGGGGTTGTCGGGTACAAAAGTCCGGCGTGGAGCTAGTGACCCGGCTTGTTGCATGTCTCGTCACGGCACCTTTCGATTGTACGAATGGGGTCATTCAGGCGGCAAGTCCGAACAGGCAGCAGGAGTTGCCTTGTATTTGCGGGACAAAGTCTTCGCTGAGTGCAACATCAAACAGGTCTTTGACATACCCAACCAATTTCAGGGCAGACTGGGTATACTTCGCGTCAAACGTGGAGATTGCGACTTTTGTTTCATTGTGGCATATCCTTGGGTACAAGCTCGCACAGTTAAGGAGCAACAGCGCGTTGGTCAGTTGTGGGCATATATTGGAAGCATCGTTTCACGTTTGCCTTTCCGTTGTGTACCAGTCGTTTTCACGGATGCCAATGCCAAAAACGGGCTGTGCAAATCAGAACACGGCTTGCAGCGCATCCAGTCCCCTGCTATTGGGCCTTGCACTCCTGAGCTTGAGAACTCCAGCGGGACCATGTTCAGAAGTCTATTGGAACAGCAATTTCTATGTTCTGTCAACTCCTTTCTGGGTGCGGGGCATACATATTTCGGAAATGTTGCTGGAGTCAAATCGCGGATTGATCATGTATGTTTGCCTCAAAGTTTGCTTAAACATGTTCTTTCTTGTGGAGTCTTGTACTCAGTGGGCGCGCGCCTTCAGCGAATATTTGGACCGGGAAAGCGAGACCACATGCCAGTCAATGTTGTGTTCAAACATGCTTCAGCTTTTTCAGGAGATGCAGTGGAACCGGTGTGTAAATGGGACAAATCTTTACTGGTGGATGGTGTCTTACGAGGTGATCATAGGCGAGAACTGGTCAGTAAGATTGCTGCGTGGTGTAGAAATTCTGGGATTGACAGGTTTGCTGACGATTGTGATGTATATCCTCCTACTCCTGCAGTACTTTGGCAACAAATGCGAGAAGCGGTATGGGATTCAGCATATGGTCTGTATCGGAAAAAACCCGCGCGACAACAACCACGACCTGCAGACACTCAAGCGGCGATTGATGCTCATGTTGAGGCCTGTTACGTGGTGGCCAACCTCCCTCGAAGTGCAGTCGCAAGACCAGAGAGAGAGCATTCACATCAGTTTCTTGCAGAGATTTTACATCAATGGCGAGCAGCACTCATTTTTTACAACACTAGGTCGGCAAGGGACAAGCTTCTCAAACGAGATGCCAAAACATGTCTGGCTGACAGAGTGGTGGAGTTCAACTATGCTCACCGTCGTGGCGACGGTGCTCAAGTGTGGCGGCTTGGTAGATGTCTGTCTGGATTCAAAGTCGGGCCCAAACGTAGAAGGTACGATGCTGTGTCTGGCGGCCATCCTGGTGCTGTGGAATGGGTCAGTTTCATGGGCAGAAATGGTGAAAATGGAGGCTGTTCAGGTTGGGAGGTGGATTGGGACATACGCCAACAAAGCGAACTTTCGACTCAACTTGAACCAGTCAGGTCATTTGCAGAAGCCAAGCAGCTTGCTAAATCGGATCTGCAGTGCGTTTGTCGGTTACTACGAATCCAAAAGCTTCGCAAGGCAGTACCTACATGGGGGGTTCCGGGTGAAGTATGGAGACAACTGGTTAGTCCAAACGAGTATTATGTACGTCGTCGACATGGTCTGGGTTTTGATGGCACGTTGGATACGAGTGTTGTTAGCAAATGCTTATTGGCACTATTCGTTTCCATTCGCTTGTATGATGTGGCACCGTTGCAGTGGCATCTTAGCCAAACTTTTCAGATTAACAAACACAACAACAAACCTGCTTGTGAAGGGTTACGAACAATCAACACCTTTGAGCCACTGGGTAAAGCTTTCATCAAAACCCTGTGGGACAGAGGGCAAAGACAAAGCGACAGAGAGTGGGCTTCAGGTTACATTGCTCACAAGTCTCGCGTCACACCTATTATGCAGCGCCGAATTATCAAACACAGACTGCGACAAGCTGGTGAGTCTCATTGCGATTCTTTCTATGATGCGGCGAATGCTTTTCCGAGTGTGGCTCGCTCTGTGTGCGACGATGTCATTGACAACACATGTAGACATGCAGACCGACGACTTCTTAAACAACGCAACAATGAAGCCATCCTTCTCATACATGCATCGGATCGCAAAGTATTTATTCAAAGCGGTTCTGGTTCGCTCCAAGGAGATTCGCATGCTGGCGCGCAGTTCCTTGAACAGTATCACCCTGCAGTGGATACATGGCTTACCCACCTTGCCGAACATGAGGGGGCGGAGTTCTACATTCAAGATCCTGTCAACCAGCAGTTTGTGGATGCATCTGTTTCGACATATGCAGATGATTTGGCACGCACTTCTCTGTGTCAATCATCAACAGAGCTTTCCGCCAAACTCAACATCGCGAACTCGCTCTTGTCTGCAGCTCTTCGGCCGATTGGTATTGCGCAGAATGTGGGGAAGCAAGTACATGTTCCATGCTTTGTTCGACAAGATGCAGATACTTACACTCGTGCTGTGTTTTGTGAGGATTTGCTACCAGGGAACACGTGTCGTATGGCGAAGTACTTGGGACTTCTACACCACGCCACAGGCAACGACTCTCCTGAAATATTACAACGAATCCGCAGTGCCGATGTTGGATGGTTTTCTATGGGCAAGTTCTGGTTCAGACAAGGATTGTTTCGCACTGCGTTGGTTCTTGTTTTCAAGGGTTTGGTTTACAGTCCATTGTTATCTGGACTCGAAGCTCTCTGTCTCAACAAATCGCATTTGGCACAGTTGGATAAGTATGTCCTTAAGCGTGGGAGGCAACTCATGCATGGAGCAGCTTGTGAGAAGACTTCAACAGATGAAGGCATCAAGTACAAGGCGGTTTGCAATGTCGAAGTCTGGCGTTTTCTGCAATCGGTGCCAACGCATATTGAGCTTAGGGTACGTCGCCTTAAATTTTGGCAGAACGTCGCCATGCACAGAGAGATACACGCAGTGTTGTTGGCATGTCTATTCGGTGATTTCGATTGGGAACAAACGTCTTCATTGGACATGCAGGGTAAGCCCACTAGACAAGCAAATCCGTGGTTGCAGCAGTTTGCACAAGACATTGACGAATTGGCTGTTCTGGATTCTGCTGCGTACATGGTGTCGCTGCTGCGCGGGAGAGCATTACTATTGTTCACAGAGTTTCGAGAAGATTTTCTACGTATTGATGTTTCGGAGCTTAGAGCGAGGTTTCTGGGACGAGAGATCCCCCCGCCGGGATGGGTGGAGCCACCCACTGAACCTTCTGATATTATTCTACTACCTAACGATGACGCTGAAGTATTTACATGTGACAAGAAATGCTCGGACGGATCAGTTTGCAACAAACAGTTTTCAACGTACAGACAACTACGACTGCACATGGTGCACACAAAAGATGGTGAGCACGGTTCTTCTAGGCAGGTTCAAGACATTGCTGCAGTGTCGAATGTATGCCCGTGGTGCCGTAAACGTTATGCTTCACGTGAAAGCGCCAAGAAGCACATCAAAGAGGCATTTAACAGAGGATATTGCACGGGAAAGGGATCGGCCTTTAATCCAGCGGTCTATGCTCCAAAGTCCATGGCATGTCCGATGTGTGGGGAAACAAGCGATTCATTGGATGAGCTGTTGCATCATATTTCACAGCATGACAGCCCCGCCGCTTTCCATGCACGACAAGCATTACCTGCTCAAGGTGACGCATAGAGAACTCACGACCGGCATTGCTATGGCTACACCTTCTTGGTTGCTAGGTGCTGGGGGTCAAAGTGGGGGGCCGCCTGCGCGAAGACAGCGAGTGGATCCACCACCAAGCGCCATCACTGCAGACAACCAGAAGAAGCTCACAATCCTTCTAGCCAAGACGGTGCTTAAGAGTTGTGCTGACATCCGGGAGTTACAGAGTGCAGTGTTGACGACATTGTTGATTCCCAAGGATACCTCTGTGGTGGCAGCCATGACGGCCGCTACGCAGGAACACAACACCAAAGCATCAGACTTGCGCAAAGCAGGTAAACTGCAGGAGTGTGAAGCGCTCGGAGAGCCTCATATCCATGCCTGGGCCGCCATGGTGCATGAGTTGTCGGGATCCAGCCACTTGAGTACAGACGAGAAGCAAAAGTTGACGGCGCATCTGCTTTCTGCTGACAGTGTGAAGGTGCTTGAACCCCTTATCATGGTGACCAAATGTCGCAAGTGCTATGATCCGAAGCGCATGCGATTGACCTTGTGTGTCCACAACCAGGTTGAAGACATCCTGGAGGTGGTCGTTAAAGGACTGCAGCGGCATGGTGCTCAACTCAAGCGGGGAGTGGCACCAAGATCGGGCAATGAGCGTGAGATGCAAGCCTTGCTAGATGCATTGGTGGAAAGTGTTTGAAAGCAGAAGCACGTGTGAATACCACGCATAGTTTTGACACCAAGAAAACGGTAGGTCCTCGTACACCGGGCCTCCGGCTGTTGAGCTTTGTGCTCGGTTGGGGCTTTGGTGTTTTTGGGGCTGTGCTCGTACAGGCTGTGTTTAGAACACAGCGCGGGAGTGCAGGCCGACGGTAAGTGCTCACAGCAGCCACCTCGGGGCAAGAGCCCCCCGCTCGTCCAAGGAGTTTGACACTTCTGTGCGACGCTGAGAGAGAGAGATATGTGTCTGTGTGTGTCTGTGTGTGTGTGTGTGTGTTTATGTATTGCTGTTTGCAGATGCATATACTTATAGGGCTTATAGGGGTTTAGGGGTCCAGGTTTCAGGGTTCTTTTTTTCCTTGGCTTTCATAAGCTTTCTGTTGGTCTTCCAAAAGGGCTGCATCCGGATGTGCGAGGCCTCTCGTTCAACAGTTACAGGGTTTGCCAGGGCTCGGTGTGTATTTCCGTACAAAGGCCGGCAGGGTTCCGGATAATCAGCTGTGGGTGGCTATGGAAGCTATGGTGCAATAATAACCCTAAACCCTAAACCCTAAACCCTAAACCTTAGTAGCCTACATGCTGACTAGCCACGATCCTCCGAAGAGGACTGCGCCACGAGCTGGACAGCCGCACCGACCAGGATGCTTTTTCAAGGCCAAGCCAAGACATGGGTAGTTGTCAAAATTATGGTCCCTTTTTGGGTACCCTAAATAATAGGTGCCGTACTATATTAGGGACCCAAAAAGGGACCATAATTTTGACAACCACTCACATGGTGAAGATCCACTACGAGGAAAGACACGACTTCCACGTGGCGGCAAGCGTACGCCGCGGACATCGCTGATTCGGAGGCAAACTTTAAACCCTAAACCCTAAACCCTAATCCCTTAACCCTAAACCCTAAACAC